TTGCTCCTTACTCCCACATAACAATTATTGTATTTTCTCTTCTTTGTCTTTCTGTATTGCGACATTTCTTTCTTGTTTCCTGTGAGCAGACGTCTCCCCTTCACCCCGAGTGGTCTATCCATGCCTGAGCTATTCCTGTATTACTCAATGTGTCTACTTTACGTTGTACAGGCTTGAGAAAATATCACAAAATACTTGTTTGCAAATAGACGTGCCGATAACATGTTCATACTTATGGTCACAGAGTCCCAGCATTTTACGGTACAGAACGGGGCCATTTGTGCCTGTCCCAGTTCTCTGAAAGGGCTCTGCATTCAGTCCCATTCCCCTATCCCTTCCCACACAACTTATACTTTTCTCATCACCTAACACAACACAATAGCAAGGATCACACCTGATAATAATCAGCCTTGCACTTGATACAGCAACCTTGTCATGTTGAAACTTCTCAAAGCACTTCACAGTAATAACTGTAATCTGTGTGTTTGTAAAAAAAATGTGGTAGCCAATTTACGCACAGCAACGTCTCCAAGCCAGATGGTCAGCGACCAATTTTATCTGGGGGATTGTTGGCCGGGAAATAGAAACTCCTTTTTTCTTTTTGAATAGTGTTGTGGGATTTTTCACGACCTTGGTTTAGTGTTTCAGCTCCTGCGACAATATACGACCCTCCACCAACGGTTTACCATGAAGGGTGGACGAGGCCAGGAGTGGACTAATTTAAGAAAAGCTTGATGCTGAGATGAGAGGGGAGTAGGGTGCGTGTTCTGGAAAGGTGAGATAGGATGGGCTAAAGGGTTTTCTTCGTCCAACAATATCTCATGTCAGTTTTCCTTGGTAAATGGCTGGGAGGAGCCTCAAGAGGGAGTGCCTGTTGCTCACTGTCTCTGTAAATCACTGCTTCCTTCTCCCCAACATCCCTTAAAATGAGAACCACACAGTCCTCCAACAACGAGAGGTAAAGAACCCTCTCTGGTCAGACTCCAGCAGTTACCCCTAACTCACACTCTGAGCTCCCCCCAAGCCTTGGCTCTCGGCCTAATACTTTGCGGAATTAGGTAAGCAGGATGAGTCCCTCCAGGGAGAGAGAGTGAGAGAGAGAGAGAGAGAGAGAGAACGCTCATTCCATTCCAACAATCTATCTGGGATTTCCACGTGTAGGTGAGATCCACAGTTTGGTTTGGATACTCTTGAGCACGGTGACGGGTTTCCGTATTTGTCAAGACACCCGACTGATTTACTGAGACATCCGTGGTTAACCTTGTTCCAGGGAGTAGCTGTGGGAAGCTGGTGGTGCACGTTAGGGGTTAAAAGCACAGCCGGAATCATGGATTATAAACACTTGCTGCCTGAGAAATGGAACGTCGGCACAGCACAGGATGTGTGTCCTTCTGACCGGATGCCTGGAAGCTGTCACTGATTTCAATAAATGAATCTCTTTGTAACAAGATCAGCACTGGGTCATCCTCAACAGCTCAAAGGAGAGATCATCGTGAGGGTGGGGGGGGGGGGGGGTGGGGGGGGGAGGACTGCTAAATGATCACACATTGTTTATCCTAACGCAGTGGCGTGAAATGTTCCCCCTGCACCCCGCTTACCGAATCCGTGCTTCGGGTCTAGTTTTAAGCCGTTTCTGTCCTGGCCCCCCCCCCCCCCACCACACCGCAGAATCGACGTGGGGGTATTAACCCCTTGTTTGCCACAAAGGCCTCTCTTGACAAATGCCACCACAGCGCACTCCGGCTGCAAAGTTCCGAATCCTGCCTGGCCCTGTGTCCTGATTCCATCTCAAACCCCTTTACCCGGCGCTCTCTCTCGCCTCATTTCCGAAACCCACCTTTTTGGACTGTGCTTTCAGTCACCTCCCTCCCCTTGCTGGCTGTTCTGCACCACCCCTGTAAGACACATCAAGCCAGTTTACTATGTGGAAGGCATTGTATAAATGTATCACGTGGTCACAAAACAGAATTGAGAGCGAGCGCAAGTGTAAAGGGTCTAACAGGGAGGCCACAACAACGTGCTGTGTAACGGAGTGACAAGACATAGGAACAAACAACAGAAACTTTCAGTGCAGAAAGTGTCTGTCTCAAGTATTTTTTTTTACTAATCCCATCTCCATTATCCCCTCATGGTTTGACTGCCCAGATGTTTATCCAGTGCCCTTTGGAATGATTCTACTGATCGAGGCTCAGGATTGTCAGGAGAAAATGAGCTTAGGAGGAATTTCCTCGCTCAGAGGCTTGTCAGGGTTTGGAAATCATTCCCACCACCGGCTACTGAGGCCAGATCAATGGGATCATTCACAAGGAAACTGGGAGAAGCAGCTGAGCAGTAAAAACATTCAATGATCTGGAGAGAGAGATGGAACGTGCGACTAATAAAATAAAGGCGATTCGGTAAATCAGGGAGCAGTGACACAGACACGATGGATTGAATGGTCTCCAGTGGAGAAGGTTCCCATGTTTCTACAGACAGTTTGAGGCATGAGCCAGGGCTTGTCAAGGGGTGAGTGACAAGTTGTCTGGCCTTCTTGAGGACCTTTGGGAGCCAGGGTTACCGACGGAAACCTCAGACAGGGTCCCCTCCCCGTCCCCACCAACCGCTCCTCTTCTGAACCCCCGCCCACCAAGACTGAAAGCAAAACACCTCCTCCCTCCCCGCCCCGGTTCCTCCAGTTGTGATGTGGAGCGGCGAAGGGTTAATGCCGAGTGCTGCGCGATGCTCAGCTCCCAGGTCCGCTCGCTCGATGTGGCCGCTAATGAATTTTATGTTACATTAAAGCCGTATAAATGGGCGGCGGCCAGCCGTACAGACAACAAGTGGCCGGGAATCAGGAGCTAATCAAATGATGTAAAATAGAGACAGTACCAATTATACAAGAGTCTGTACCACACTGCTGCAGGGACTCCCAATGAATAGGTACAAATCAAATTATAGGCTAATAGACGCACTACAAGAGGGGGCAGTCAATGCTAAATGCATTAGAGCCTTGTGACCTCCCTGCTCTGAGCAGCAGAATCCAGACTCAAGGCTCATAGCCCTCTGATACATAAAAGAGGCTGTTGTTGGGGGAAGCAGCCTGCGAAAGGCATCGTCCCTAAATGAGTTAAACACTCGCTTGTCAAAGTGATCGCTCCCTTTATTTATGTGTCACTGTCTCAATACCCAGTTTGTCTTTTGCTTTCAAATTCTCCAGACCTAGACGGCACGTAGTTACTTTGCAAGTGATTTAACTTTCGCTTCTCGTTCGCTCTGGTTCGGATTTCTGGAACACTTTTCAGGGCATCCAGTGTTATTATTATACACAGCGGAGTTAAGATGTATCAAAGCTTCCTTTCTGTTCCCAGCTGTTCACACCTCGCCCTGACCACCTCGCTCGCCCCTGATCAGACTCCAAAGGCTATCACCAGACTCCTCGCTGGCTCTGTTCCTGATATCAGACATTCATTCACTGAACACACCATCTCTCTCTCTCGCTCTCTCTCTCTCTCTCTCTTTCTCTCTCCCCTCTCTCTTTCCTCTCTCCCTTCTCCGCAGATGAAATTCTCAGCCACGACAAAGGGGGAAAATTAGTCAAAAATCAGTGTCCAGGCTCCAATTTAGAATACGGTCCAGTCTTCTCTCAACATGAGTCAACACTACATTAACAGAGCTACTGGGCTCCATCCTGAGAATCCAACACTACACCAACAGAGCTGCTGGACTTTTAGACAAGCCAAAGGGATCAGACCTAAAATATATGAGGGTGGGGTGGAGGGGAGACCTATCCAAAGCAGGGAGAAAAACTAGGTTACTAATGTAAAGTGTGGATCTTGTTCCACTGACAGCAGGCCCAGGCTCTCCACAGCTGTGGGGCTCAAGACAGTGGCCTGAGATATGTTCTAGGGAGGGGACGGGAGGGGGTTGAGAGGTGTGTGTGTGTGTGTGGAGGGGGGGGGGGGAGGGGGGAGTGTAGACCCTGCCAGCATCAGAGAGAGCAAAAGCCACTGATAAGATATCAACACTGGCCTGCCTATCTGCAGCATTTCTGCAGTTGTTAACTAAAAATGGATTAATGGATGTCAGGCTGGAAGCCTGTCAGCACATCCCACAGGGTCTTAACAAAGACATTATTTATCAGTAAGCTTTGGTCCAGAACACCTCCTTCACCGAAAAAAAGAAGCCAACAGCAATTTCAGGCGCTTCACAGTCTGTGTCTCTGCCTCCTCTGACGGTGGCTACAGCACTGAGAACCTCGATAACCTGCGCACGTTCGTCCAGAGGCACCCCCGATGCCCCCCCGGGAGGCCATTGGGTGTGTTTGGGAGACTTGCCGGAATGTCGAGGCTCAGAGATTATCAGGGATCAGCTCTACACTTAGCGGCAACATCAGTCCGGGTTGTTTTGACGAGTGACTGACAGGCCCCGCTTCGTGCCTCTCGCTCAACGGATTGGTCGGAGGGCAATAGGTCTGAGCGCTCTGCAGTGAAGGAGGTGTTTGTTGTGGCATTTACAGCACTGGCCAAACCATCGCTGGTGGAATTTATTCACGATATAGGTTCAGATGAAGAAGGCCCTTCATCTCATTTGATCTCATCCTTACAGAATGCCACCTGCCTCTGCCTTCCCAGGTCAACACAAGATGATCCTGAAATGTCCTGGTCTCGCTCTCTCTCTCTCTCTCTCTCTCCCTGGGAGGCCATTCCAGTCACTGATTACACTCTACTGAAACGTCACAATTTGATCATGTGTTTTCAGGAGGGAAATAGACAGTGGGTTGGGCTGTGGCCTGAATGTTGTACTCCTAATGTTCTTCCCCATGAACTATATATATATATATAACATATAATAATCCTTGCATTTGATATAGCGCCTTATCATGTCTTCGAGACGTCTCAAAGCGGGTCACAGAATCTACTGTAAAGTGAATTGACTGTGTATTACAACTTCCTGGATGCGAGGCGGGTGGGGGAGGGGGGGGGGTTCGGGGAGATTATTTCCTGGTCTGAGTCCTTGCTTACCTGTTCCGGAGCCCACTATGTCCCTACTGGGCGACTCAGACATGGCGTCCGCGAGCCGCTCGCGAAGACCTTCCTCCGTGTTGTCAATGGAAGACATGTGCCTCAGCCCGAAGCTCTCTGGCCAGCTGCCACACACCTCCAGCAGCGTCACACTGCGGTCAAATGTACCTGAAGCAAACAAAAGGTGGGATTTGTCAGTCACTGTTCAGCCTCCCCCACCCCTCATTCCCTCTCACACAGTGTGTGTGTGCACGGCTCCGAGCCGGAGGAGGGGCAGCTTTACCGTAGGGCACTGGTTGAACAGGAAGGTCTCGAGGCACGACCTGAAAACAGTTAAGGAAGGGGCCCGGGTGGAGGGACGCAGGAAGAGCTAAAAAGTGCGGCCACCGATGGTGGAAATGGAGGGCCAGGGTCACTCCACGCCCGCTCGATTCCTGGCCATTCACACGAACACTTAATCAATGCGCAGAGGCAGCCCTCAATCTCAAGACGGAGCACGCACTCTCAGTCCGGACCCACAGCAACGCCCCCCCCCTCCTCTCCCCCAATTTCCACGGCCGTACCTCTTGCGGTACAGATACAGGCCGACGAGCAATTTCCTAAAAGTGTTTCCTCGTTTCCTCCGACAGAGGAACGAGCAGGCGAGGGAGCCAGTCTGTGTCCCGACTGCAGCAACATCTCAGTGTCTCCAAGAGGCCTGTGAGTGAGGCCTGGAGGCAAAAGCTGCTGTGAATTTATCAGGAGGTCAGAGCTGAGACGGACGGAGGCTTTGGTGGCTTCTCCAGGCTGGAGGGTAACTAACACCTTCACAGCCAAAAGCAGTGACAACCACAAATTACAACAAATTGTATAGCGCCTTTCACGTCAGCACAGCGAGAGCTGAGCTTGGTCCCATCTTTATTAATATTATTATTATTATTATTATCCCTTCAGCCTGGACTCCTCGAGAGCTAGAATTGTCCCTCAATAATGATCAATCTGTTTACACAAGAGTATAAAGTATTATACTGGACAACGCTGTTCACCACACACACACACTCTGCTTTACATTTCTTGCCCTCACTTCTCTTTTAAAGCCCGGCCCCAGGGGAGGCTGTCCTGGGAGAAGAGCGTGTGGTGTGTTACACGCAGGGATGGGTCTGGTGTGCTGTGCTGTGCGGTGTGGAGCGAGTGGGTGGGGGGGGTGCTGGGCTGGGCTGGGCTGGGTAGCGTCAGTCACACCGCTGCTGGCTGACAGGCCGGGGCACATGAGGGACACAGGCAGGTTTCAAGAGCTTTGACCTGCGGCGACATGCTGCTAAACCAGGCCCTACACCCGCGCTGAACTCCCGGGGCGACTGTCTCTGGGCGTGCGAGCAAAGTGCAGAGATAGGGCATGGAGCTATCTGGCCTCTGGACCCACCTGAAGATATCTCAGTGAGGCCGAGGACATGTTAACACCTAGAGGAGGTAGCGGAGACAGTCCAGAGCCCTCAGGCCGGCCAGACTGATAATGCGCTTTCGTTCCCTGACTCCCTTCAAGTTGCTGAGGGCATTTGGAGCTTAACTGGTGTGAATCGCCAGCGTACACACAGACAGACATCTCCTGCCCGGTGAAGGGGTGGGTGGGGGGCACCCAGGAGTGATAGCCTTTAAACACTCAGCTCTCGATCTCAGGGGCCATGGCTGGAGGGTGTATGTGTGTGTGTGCGTGTGTTCAGGGGGTTGGGTGTATATGTGTCTGCGTGAGGGGTGGGGGTGTATACGTGTGTGAATGTAGGGTGGTGGGGGGTGTACATGTGTGTGTGTCCGTGTGGGTGTGTGCGTGGGGAGGGAGGGGGGAGAAAATCAGGCAACTGCTTTCCTGGTGGGTGGGGGAGGAGATTCGGAACTGAATATTTTACCGGGAGGGGGCGGGTGTCAACACGATTTAATACGTATAAAACGATAAAAAGCTGCCCCCCGTTACAATGAATTCTCTTTCGCTCTCTCTCGCTGTGTCTGACGCACACATTACACCCCCCCCCCCCCCCCCACCTTTCCACCAAGGCGCTGTCCAAATCCCTTTCACACGAGAAGCTTCCCTTTGCCGTTTATCATACAACAACTTATGCTTATGTAGCGCCTTTCACGTGAGCCAGGTTCCCGAGGGCTTGAGGCACCGAGGCAGTTTCCAACCACGGTGACAGTCTGCGATCGTTTGAGCTCTCTCCCCCGTCCCTCCCCGATCCTCTTGAGCACATACAAGGTGAGCTCAAGACCAACAATTCCCTTCTAAAACACACGCAACGACTCTGCCAGCCTTTCAGGGGGTCTGCCGATAATTTTATTTGGCTTTGGCCGTCTAGACTCTCTGGAGTCTCCATATCAAGCTCCAGTCATCGAAAGCAGGAGCATCTTCAGTCTCATTGACACACAGGCTCCGTGTTGCCAGTCACACGAGCAAGAGAGACAAGAATCACCCGACCCCTCCCTTTCCCTTCATCCCAACTCGTCCGCCCATTTCGTGGCAACTGACTTAAGGCTGAGCTCCGGCCGGGAATCCTCGGCCTTGGGTGAGGAGGGCAATCGGTGCTCGTTTCTGGCCTGTTTATCGAGCCTGCCCACGCTCCCGAGTCGGGTCTCGCTGATGAGGAATAGCCGGGAAAATGGGTGAGGCTCCCGGGCACGAGTCAAAAGGAAAAGACCAAGTTTCACAAGTTCGAAACCTCGGGAAATTAAAGCCACGTCACACATTTTCATTTATTGCAGCTTAGGAGAGAGAGAGCGACAACAACAAGATTGTATTTATAGAGCGCCTTTCACGTCAGGAGGACGTCCCAAGGCGCTGGACAGTTGGGTCGGGACCCGAGCAGGGGGGAAATGGTCAGGGGGAGGGGAGGGAAGGGAGGGAGCAAGGAGGGGGTAGAGAGTTGAGAGGGGAGCTGAAGGCACGGTCGAAGAGACCGGCCTTGGAAGTACCTTTAAGATGACCTAGCGCTGTTGGGACCTTTGGTATCACTGAATTTCCGTGGAGGTGGCAACTGGAGTCTTTAGAACCACAGAGATCCATGATATACAAAGGCGGCCATTTGTCAATCATGTGTGGGCCGCTCTTTCAAGAGCAATCCTTTCAGTTCTGTTTACCTGCCCTCTCCCCGCACCCCTGTAGCTGACTCTTCTTAAAGGTATTTGTTTTGTTCCCTCGAAAGCCAATATGGATTCTGCCTCTGACCGGCCTGAGGGCTCTGGACTGTCTCCGCTATCTCCTCTAGGTGCTAACGTTTCCTCGGCCTCACTGAGTTATCTTCAGGTGGGTCCAGAGGCCAGCGCCTCTCAGCCCCCGGCCAGATAGCTCCTGGCAGGACATTCCATATCCCTCCCTCCCTCGCCTTGGCTCAGTGTCAGGCTCCGACCCTTTTGAGGGCTCTGAGACGCTACCCACCCCCCCCACACCCCACGCAGGGCTGTTGTTTCTATTGCTGGGTTTGTGAGAGACAGGAAGAAGGAGAGAAAAGAGAAGGAGCACAGTGAGTACAGGCAAACCTTTGCTTCCTGACTTCAGCACTGCCCGAACCCGCTCGCTCTAACCTCCTCTTGCTCTCTCTCCATCAAATAAATACAGACCTGCGCTGTCCCTGCAAAAGCTAACCAGCCTGTGTATTGCATTAATAATAATCCTTGCATTTGATACAGCGCCTTATCACGTCTCCAAGACGTTTCAAAGCGCTTCACAGAGTACACCGTAAAGTGAATTGATTGTATATTTTTGTGGGCGAAACGCGGCAGCCAATTGTGCACAGCACAAACCTGGATTGAGTGACCAAATTATTACTTGTTTTTGAAGGAATTATTACCCCTAGAAAAGCGATCCGCCAATCAACTAACAACCGGGTTCCTACTTACTGCTGGGTAAACAACGTTTTGCCCTGCCAGGAATCAAACCCAGGTCTCTCACTTGCGAGTGCTCTAACCGCTAAGCTACAGGACTCCACATTAGATACAATATCTGCTGCGGAGAGAGCCTGTGGGCAGGAAGTAGCCACTTGCGTGGAGCCTGGGTTCTCAGAGATACCTGGCTCCTCACACTGGCAAGATCATGCCCTTGCCACTTGTATTACGTGGCAGACAATTGGTGTCTAAATGGGCGCAGGGCATGTTTGGGGGTGGGATGATTGAGGGGAGAAGATATTCCACCTGACAGGGATCAGCCTGAGGCTTCAGACCTTTCGACTTCTGTCCTTCTGTTTCTACGCAGGATTTTTTTCCCCTCCTCAAACTCCTAGATGCAAACAAGAAGCATCAGTAATAGTGCTGGAAGTGAGCGCGGGAAATGGGCATTTTACTGTCCACAAAGTAGAGACATTGACACCCTGCCGTCCCCGGCACTGGCTGATTGGGTTCTCTCCAGTCTCGAAAGCACTGACCCAGACCTCCCAGGCACTTGTCCTGTGTGAAGGGCGCTGTAGGGCAAGTTGTCGTCGCCGTTGGATCAATGCAAAGTCACAGAGTCAGGAACCGCCCTCCAATGCCTCACCCAAGTGACCCATCCTTTGCGTGCAAGTCTGTGTCTCCCCCCACACTGAGCAACTGAGTGGGGGCATGGGGTGGGGAAGCGTTAGTCTTCCAGGACTTCCAAGGTGGGCTTTGATTCCATAACCTTCTAACCTAAAGACCTACCAACTGAGTTAGAGGGATTTAACCACGTACACCATACAGAGGGAGGAAGGGGTGGTGGGGGGTGGGTGTGGAGAAAGCAAGAGAATATTACCCACAGGCAGTTTTTATTTTGTTTGTGAAATATTGAAATATGAATCCTTTGGGATTAATTGTACTAACCACAGGGAGGCTCTGGAGGGCACACAGTCTCGCCAGGTGGAACTGTGCCACCGGAGAGGGTAAAACCATTTGCTTGGCTAATATTCATTTAATCTCGGTGGCCTGCATATTACGGAATTCAATGTCAGCAGCCAAGACATCTACAATTGTGCATTTCCTTCAGAAAATAAACCTCCTTTCACCGAATTAATGTTCTTGTTAACGTTGCTCTGTCTCTGGTCAGACACACTGGGAGTGTCTGTGGCTGAGTCCAGTCCAGTAAAAAGGGAAAAAAGAGAGGGAGGATTATGCTATTTGTGGATTAAATTAAAACTTTAAAGTTAACTTAAATGCCGAACAGTGAAGTGTGCAATGACATCTGTGCCTGTAAT